TATATATATATATATATGAAACTAATAAATCATAAAATTAATACTTTATTATTAATTTCTTACTTTTAATCACTTAAATTTTAACAGTAATGCGAACTTACATAAGATTGACCGTCTTTAATAGTATCTCATAGATGGTATCTGTAAAATAGAAACACGTAAACATTTTCAACGAATAGAAATTAAATTATAAACTTATAAATTTAAAAGAATCACTGTGCTATCGCTTCAATAATTAATTAACTCAACTGTATTTTCCTAATGTAATGCTTTTAGATAGAATGGCAAGTCGAAATATCGTACATATTGTATACATATATTCGATCATGTCCAGTTGGCCTCACAAACGTTAGATTTATTAGGCCTTACTTAAAGATAAAGGTACAATTGGAGATCTTACGACAAATAAAATGCTAAACACAGACGATTAATAACTTTATTAATCGCGTTGTCAATATGGCACCAAAATGAAATGTGACTTTGATTGGGCATCTCCTAGGCATTGAACGATCAATAAAGATGTCACTGAATTATTCGCTACACGATTTAATCTTAATATCACAATCTTTACATCCGACACTTTTGAACTGACTCTGTCAAATGCTTTGTGTCTCATTCACGCTGCTAGATTAGCTACATTACATATGTGTCTCGCATGCTTTTCATTCTTTAAGCTTTCAGTCATCTCCATCAGAGAAACTTTGTAACTGACACAGTCAGTGAGATACAAACAACAAAATATGCGACACAATTAACAAAATCACGATGGCTTGCAGGATGGAAATCTTTTAATACTAATGCATGAAATTGGCTTACGCCATCTCCGTTTGTTTTGACTGTTTGTATTGCATTTGGTGTGATGACTGTTACACGTGGTTTTTCGATCCTCGCTAATGCGATCCAATTCTTGAAGTCTTCGCTCTTCTAAAAAAAAAAAGAAATTTTTATGAATATTTTTCTATATGTTTTATGATAATTTTTCTATATGTTTCATAAAAAAATAGTTCAATTATGCTGAAATTTTGCATTGTTGCCATCACTGGAAAATAATTTCTTAAACGAGCTTATTTTTGAAAAGAAAAAATATTCATATCACTAGCAAACGTAATAAACTTACCATTCAGCTGATGTTCCGTATAGTATACGGGATTTTCATCGACTCCATAATGATATTCCATCAAGTATGGCAAGACAGTCATGCTGTGGCAGCCATTGCTTTTAAGGGGAGGTATAGATACTTGTTGTTGTGTTTTAGGGTGCTCACACATGGTCCACGCGTGTCTTTTTACCTGTTGTAATGTAAATCTCTTATCCGCATCTTTCTGCAACATTCCTTCTATGAGCGACTTTAAAGGCTCCTCTATTTCTTTTGGTACAGTATATTCACCCCTTCCAATGTTTTCGTATAATTTATATATGTTATCTCCCTCGAAAGGATATAAACCCGTGGTTATATTATACCTGTAAAATATAGATACACTGAAAAATATAAATTCTGATCTTTGGATAATGCCGTGTACAAGCAGTACTTACAATGTAACTCCGCTACTCCATATGTCTACTTTAAAACCTGAGAAACTTTCGCAGCCGTTTGCGATTT